TGAACTATAACTCACTAACTGATCGTTGGACATGGTGACAGGTTGATAGGATTTGCAGTCTTTTAAGTGCACAGGTTCTCTGCTCCCTGGGTTTGTGTAACAAAGGGCTTCATCAAACCAGAATGCAATGAACAATTCAACAATTGTAGGTTATTACAGCAGCTCTACATGTTAGCTTTGCAAAGATGGAACTTCCAGCTCATTGTAGGAGCACAGCAATCACACACATTTAATTGCAAATATAGCAATCTGTTGCTTGAGCCTTTGGGAGTGAAAGAACAGCAAGAGAAGGAGCAATCTTGGGGACCTTGCTCCAGACCAACAAAACCACATGATGTGCAAGTCTTGACAATCAGATTTAAAAAAGGGATAAGGAAAATTTGTGGAGAATGAGAGGGCTGCCCTTAATAATGACAATATATCTGCAGAAATAGAGTCAGCACACTCAAGTCTGGATTAAGGTGAATTGGAGCTGTTACCCAAATAGGGACCTTTTGGTGCACATATCTGGGCTGACCAATACCTTTGAATACTTACACACACCCCTGTTGCAAACACAGCTATTTCTGATGTGCTGGAGAGAAGAGTTGGGAGTAATAGTCATGTCCAGCGCTCACCTAGTTGTGGGTTGTGCTGAGCCAGACAGCTGTGACAAGATCACAACAGGGTCTTGCAAAGGTGTTTGCAACTGTCTGCAGGGGCTTGGCATTGAGGTTGAAGGCTGAGTCCAGAAGTACATCAAAACTGCAAATCTTCATCTTCAGGTGGAGTTCAACTACATCTAGCATAGGCCAGGTTTTGGAGCCAGTTTTCAGCTGAAAAAACAGGTTTGGAGAGGGTGCTGGGGGGGGGGGGAAGCTGAATCGTCACATCTGAGAGCAGTTTTTTTCTGTTTTTTGGGTAGTTTGGGGGGATTTAACTCAAAATATCATGCTAATTTTTAAAAACTAGTTTGGTTTGGAGGAGTGGTAGGGACTTCAAGGACCCTGTGCAGCTCATGGGCCACACTTTCCTGCACCTTAGTCAAGATAATCCATGTTATAACCCGGCAATGCCTTCAGCAGGCCCAACAACTTGTTGCCAGTCATCTTGCCCAGAAATGGGATATTTGCAACTGGACAGTAATGGGGCCATACATCCAGGTTCAGGGAGGGACTCTTCAAAAGAAGATGAACAACTGCCTCATTTAACAGAGCTAATAAAACACCTCCCTGTAACAAGGCATTTACAACTCTCTAGATCTACCCTGTCAACCAATCTCTGTTCAATTTCATCAGCCCAAAAGGACTAGAATCAAAAAAGTATGTGCCCAACTTTACTGGACCAAGCATCCTGTTATTCAGGCCATAGTATCCGAAATCATTTCTACAACCATGACTTGATGGGGTTCTGCATGCTTCCACAAGACCAGCAATATTTGTGGAATCCAGTGCAGTAAGGATGAGAGCGATTTTGCTCTCAAATGTGTTTCACAAAATGGTCACAGGTATCCTTAAGACAACCTTTTTCAATTTGGCACTTTCCAGATGTGATGGATTACAAATCCCACCATCCCCAGCTAGTACTTGGATTGTGAGATTTGTAGCCAACTGTATCTGAAAAGTGACAGGTTGGGGGAATCGACATTAGCATTATGTTTATTTTTACAACAACAACAACAACAACAACAACAACAACAACAATAATAAATTAAGTTACCATAGTTTTGAAGGAACTAACAACAGAGGGCACTAGTGTTCAAGAATAATCATGTAATAGAGAATGCAGTGAATCAAAAACCTGCCCACTAACATTAGCAATAACCAGTTAATTTGCTGAGTTTGCTCACCATTAATAAAAGTAATTAATTTAAAAAAAAAAACCCAAACATTTACTTCTGCAGATGACCAAGGAAGTTTTCAGTCACAGTTCCTAAAATTCACTCTAAAGGACAGTTCTTTTGAACTTTTCTTTTTCCTTTTCCCAAAGTTGCTACTTCTTTCTGTGGCTGTATCTACTGTAGAAATAACGCAGTTTCACACCACTTTAACTGCCATGGCTCCAGCCTACAGAATCCTGGGACTTGTAGTTTTGTGTGGCACCAGCACTCTTTGATAGAAAATGCTAAAGCCCTTGCAAAACTACAAGGATTTTATAAGATGGAGTGTCAGCACTTAAAAGTAGTTTCAAACTGCATTATTTCTACAGTGTAGACATCCACTCTCTGTCTTTGGTTCTGAAAGAGACAGTACAATTGTAAATATCATAAATGATACCAGATCTGTTCCCAGAAAAGGAATAACCAAATCCCAAACTGCCATCCAATGTACAATGAAAGCACTGTAATATATCACACAATACAATTCCATGTACTAAAATCCATGTACAAAAGGTGAGAAATACCAGCCCATATTGGTGTCACCAAAACTCTCTCTGCCAAGTCCAATATGTGATAAGTTTGGAGTGTTAAAGAAGTGAATTAAGTTTTCTCCATGATATAAACCAGTGTTTCTCAAAGTGGTAGTCCAATGCTTGAGCCATCAGTTGCTGGTCTGTGGAGAGTTTCCAGGAAAAAAAGAAACCATTGTAGCAGATGAGCACAAATATGTAACTGGTCCCTGGCAGGAGTTTATATATGGGGCAAAATGAGGGCATTGCCTCCAATAAAAATCCTCCCCCCCCATTAAATTTTCTTTCATTCCCCAAATTTCTAGCATTGCAGAAAGTGAGTCACTGAAAACTCATTCGTTCTTTTGGCTTCTCCTATCATCTATACGCCGATGACACTCAGCTGTATCTCTCCACCCCTGACCTTTCTTCGGGTCTCGAACAGCAAGTTTCATCTTGTCTTACAGTGGTCCCTCAGTGGATGCGCCATTGGCACTTGAAACTCAGTATGTCCAAAGCAGAGCTTCTTGTTTTTGCACCAAAGCCTACTATTCAATACTCTTTTTCTGTTTCTGTTGACAATATTTTTATTTGACCTGTCCAGGAAGCTCACGGTTTTATTTTTGATTCATCTCTGTCATGCATCCCCCAGATTCAAGCCACAGCCAAATCATGTAGATTCTTTTTGTATAATATTGCTAAAATTCGACCATTTCTCTCGGCCTCTACTGCCAAGATTTTGATCTATGCCCTAGTGATCTCGCGACTAGATTTTTGTAACCTTCTCCTTTCCTTTCCTGATTAATTTATATCTGGGTGGGAGTAATACTCTCATTTTTCTCCCCTCTCCCATAGCTATATCTGGTCCCTGACACATTAGGAGGAAAATGTTGATGCTCCGCCTCATGAATAACTCGAGAAACACTGATATAAAACCGCAAACCCCACAACTCTGGAAATGGTGCAGTTAGCCCTCCATATCCACAGATTCTTTATCCACAGATTTTACCATCCACGGTTTGAAAATACTAAATATATATATAAATTTGCTGTGTGCCACCATAAGGGGCACCATTTTACTACACCACTGTATTTAATGGGCCTTAGCATCCAAAGATTTTGGTATCCACAGGGAGGTCCTGGAACCAAACTCCAGCAGATACCAAGGCCCCACTGTATAAATATGTAAGCAGACACAGAAAGGGGGAAGCAAAGCCCCAAATGATGAAGGGCGTATTACAGAATTTCTCAAAGGGAAGAGAAATGCACACTCTTTATAGTTCACATGCCAACCGTTATCAAGAATGGAGTTCTCTGTTGCAGAATTGCCTCCCTGAGCAGCACTTGACACTGACTGTGTGGTCACTGAGTGTCTTGGTCTTCCCACAGCGATGGGAGCTGGGCATGGAACAGCCATAGACATGATACTTCACTACTTTTTCTATAGGGAAGGAAAGAGAAGGAGAAAAACAGCCATAAGAACAGCCCTTTCATTCTCTAATACTATCTCTCACCTTGAGCATCTTTATTTCATTGCTCTGTCAGATAAGAGTTGAGTCTTCTGCCACTTGCGCTCTAGTT